CTTCTTGTCTGCCAGACAAGGTCCAGATCCATTCAGATGTCCTGCTGAGCTTGCCCTCATCGCCTGGTTTCGCTAAGTTTGTGGTTTTGTCACCCATCATGTCCTGCGCTGTGTGCTACATGTTTGTGAACACACCTTCTCTGAGTGGCGGGCAGCTCTCCACAGGCAGGGTTGGTGCCTCAGTCACCGGGCATCTTCACAGCACCCGTAGCCAACAAACGTTTCGTGTAACACAAGTCACGTCACTCCCCTACCGAGGCTCCTCCAGGGGCCGCAGTGACTTTTATGATTATGTGACAACTGACTGATGTTTTCGCGTTGGCACACTCTTTAACCATTTCCTGTCAGAAATGAAAGCAAAGGTCATGTGGGGTGAGCGCTCAGTTAAGTCTTTAGATGCTGGCAGTGTGTAAACTGACTTTTTAGTCCATACGTGCCATTAATTCTCACACTGCTTCGCAGGGAGCTGTTACACTGCAGCAGCAGGAATCCCGACTATTTGCTTCCTGTACTCCATTATGAGCCTCAGTCTTCTAGTCAGCCCTCTCCCAACATTTTATTGTGAAAAATTTTCAAAAGTATAAACAAACTGTAGAGAACTTTACAGTTAATCTCCATACACCTATCCCCTGGATTCTGCCATTGGCATTTTAGCATATTTGCTTTAATACTTAACTGTGCATCTATCCACCTCCAGTTTTCTCGGGGGCGTGGCTGGACACAGTGTACTTCACTGACGGCACATGACGAGGGGGGGTTCTCTAGCCCTTCCCTGTCTTCAGGAAGTCTGGGATGCTAACTGTTGAGGATGGAGATTCTCAGGGTGTTGGGGAACTCAGGGCTTCTCTCTTCCTCTCATGATCTCACCGCGGCTCGTGGTCCAGGGGGCTGTTACTCCTCAGAGGCCATGTGGACCATAAGGCCTGCCACGCCGTTGCTGTAGCCCAATTCACTGTCATAGCAGGAAATAAGCTTGACTGGTCGGTTGTTGAGGGTAATGCCAACCCTCGCATTGAAGGTGGGAGACTGGGTGCCACTGTTACAGCTGCAGGAGATGACGTGGTCCTCAGTGTAGCCCCAGATGCTCTTTAGGGAGCCCTCTGATGCCTGCTTCACCATCTTCTTGATGTCATTTTTGGCTGTCTTCTCTAGATGGCAGGTTTGATCCATGACCAACATATTGGGGGTGGAGACATGGAAGACCAGCCAGTGAGCGTCCCAGACTCTTATTTCCCTGCAGGAAAATTTCCGAAAACTGCCACTTTTCTCGGCCCTTTCCATCAGTTCCTAAACGTGCGGAGGCATTTTGTGTGGGAGGAGTCAGTTGACTCAGATTCCTCTGTTTCTCAACATATTTGTATTAACGTAGACTCTCAACTCATGAAAATCTGTTCTCATGAGGAAGTGATTAAAAGAAATGTGGGAGAGTATTTCTGTGAAGCTGGGTCTGCCCTGAATGACAAAATATGTCACTTAAAATTCAGATATCGACAAGAAGAGGGAACTGTTTTCATCTGTTGGTTGGCCACGCCAAAGCATTTCACACCTCAGGGGGCTGTGCTCTGAACTGACAGGGAACCCCCTCCCTCAGAGGATCATCACACCTATTCAAGAACTCCTCCTACTTTCCAGACACAACTTCAATAGATAGCCCCACTCCTTTCTCTTATCCTGCAATAATCAAATAAGATTGTTTCGGCCTTGTCAACTAAAAATATCCTCCCAACCGAGTCTCTAAATATCAAGGAGTTACTGAATGCAGCTAGAAAGTCAAGTCTGAACTCTCTAAACTTGAAATGGGAAAAACAAGGACATTCTGCACAGGAGGGGAAGGTGGACGGGGTGAACTTCAGCTAATTTTACAGTCAGCGTGCTGGTCAGAAAGTGTACGGAGAGCAGCAGCCAAAAGACTTTTGAGGAAATAATGTCTTTGGAAAAACCTGCTCAGAAACAACAGGCTGATTGAGCCAGACGGAAATGGTTGACGGGGTCTCTGTGGTGGATGCAGATTTAGACTTTCAGCTAGAACACTGCTATTTCTGCCCTCCTTGTCTTTGCTCAGGGTGGCTCTACTCGCCCTCATCCCTCCAAGGCTCTCTGTAGACGGAATTTCCTCCAGGAAGACTTCCCTGCTCTCTCCCACTGCCCCGTCCTGAGTTGTGCCCATGATAATGATTAAGCACCGCTCCACAGTGACTGCTTCCCAAACTCACCAGGTGCCCATCTCTGAGTGTTTAAACAGACCGTCTGGTGCTGCTTCCTCCTACTGGACCGTAAGCTCCTTGGGAGCGGGTGTGATGCCTTATTCATCTTTAATCTTTGCATGTAGTTGCAGCTTCTTACTAAACCTTTGTGGAGTGACTATCTGGCCTCGCTTCCTGATTGCCTTCCCAGGGAGATCGCCTTCCCAAGGACTGGCCACCACCGCCTCTCTGAGGCGGAGGATGTAAAGGCGGGGGGCACTGCCTGCACAAAGAGCTGAGAAAGTGAATGGAAACAGCAGCTGGTCAAAGCTCCATCTGAGCTGAAGGGGAACATTTGCTATCAGACCACACCCTTGGACTTGGCCAGTTCTCCTTCACTTGAGGGTGTGTCACTTCCTCTCGTCAGATGTCACACACCCCCACCCCAGCAGGAGGGATTGTTTGCTTCTATTTTAAATGAGGCATGAAGCGGGTGCCTGGACGGTCTCTGAGCCTCCTACTGAGCGAAAGGCTTTCGTTACAGACACCATGGTATCTCAGTATCATGGATTTAAATGAACACAGGGTCTGAGGGTAAACAGGACATAGCCACACTGACTTTCATCAGCTCACAATCCCTCAGGCTTTCCTGACAGATGCAGAAGTGGACAGACTCTGGGAGCTGACATAGGGATGGGCTTTCGGCTAGAAGTGGATTCAAGTTCTAGTTTCTCAGAGTTTTCAGGCAGGTCACTTAGCCTTGCTCAGTCTTCCGCTGATACCTTTAAAGTAGAGATTACAACACACCCAACTTTGCAGTATTGTTGTGAAGTTTAAATGATGTAATTTATATACAAGTTTCCTAAAAGGAGATAATTAATACATGTTCCCTCCTCTGCCTCTATACTTGTTTGGCTCAAGATCACTTACTCAGCAGCTGACCTCTGGCAACCTTCCTTTGAAAACTGCCGCTCCCTCCTCAGTGGCTTAAGAATCACCTTGTTACAAGGCAGCTTCCGGGTCCCACCTCTGGAGATTCTGGCACAGTGGGTCTGAGTTACAGCCCAGGAAGTTTCATTTGTAACAACTGTCCCAGGTAAGTCTGAGTCTGTTGTCCACACTTCCAGAAGCATGATTTGAAAACTTCAAAGTCTTTCTTTGTCTGAGCACTAAGACTACTTTCCTTTCAGCAGCAAAGCCCGAAGAAAAACCTCTTTAAACCAAAATATGGAATTACATGCCCCGTCCTGGGAAATGTTGAGAAAAACAGACATTAAGCTGAGGAGGTGGTGGGAGTGGTGGTAAAGGGTGAAGAAAGCTGGCATTTTTCACTGGTCATCAGGGCATGCGGTCCAGGCTCCTTGGGGAGTGGTGAACAAGGAGAAACAGAGCAGGTGGCTTATACTGGATGTGGGTTTGCAAGAGGGGAGATGGATGGGGCTGGAGAGCTTCCAGCTTACACTAAGTCAGCACTTGGAAATATGGCTTTATTATTTTCACTTAAGGGCTGTCAAGTCCCTCTGCATCAGACCCACTCAGACGTTAAGTGTCAGCACTCACACACAACCATAAGCCCAGCTTCAGAGACTCCGCTACCACCAGGGGTGTAGGGCTGTCTAGCCCCAGAAAGGCATAAGTCTATCCTTACGGAATATCTATTCTGATAGAAGCAAGGAACAGAGACATTGTCTTGAACAGACTTAAACCCTGGATTCTCATGTTAAAAGTCTGACGCTCTACAGCCCAAGGTTGTCCGGTTTCATTCAGATCCCACGTGAGACATAAAGCCAGGGAAGCTGGACAAGCTGTGCTATTAACAGCCAGACCAGAACCGGAAGCTCCCTGAACTTACTCCTATATCTGCGCTGTGGTTTTGGCCAAGTCCTTAACTCTGGGTCAGTTAATAGAGCTTAGATGCAACACAAGACGGGAAAGGAGTTGTGTTCGTGAGAACATGCTGAGTCCAAAACACGTAAGTCTTTAGAGATTAAATTTAACACCTTGATGTGATACCTGAGCCCAAACGAGTAACTTATTTAAACAAATGGCCAGCCGGCGGTACTTACCAGGTTACCTGATCCTCCGGTGGGTAGCAGGAGTAACTTTCTTTAGCCTCTTCTTTCCTGGATCTAGATGTTACCAGATCAGGTGTCATCCCCGCTACAGTTTCCTTCAACTGTCCCTGGGGGAGTGGCTTATGAGCAGGCAGTGGATGTCACCATCTAGTGAGCCCCAAAGGCACGGCTGGGTTGAGGGGTACGTGGGATATTCTGTCGGCTGGTCACGGTTCTCTGCCCTCGTGCTGATTAGCGTTAACGTTCATTACAGACAAATCCCAAGACACACTAAATGCTTAAAGATGACAAGTGATCAGACAAGAACCAATCATAGGAAGGTCTGATTCCACGTAAAATAGTGATAAGGGTACGTATGTCTCTAGGAAAGCCACTGAAGTGGAAGATCCTAAAGGCATACTTACCATCCACATCTTGGAATCTGTTTTCCCATTTATTCTTACAGATAGTATCAAAATTTGAATTGAACAGTAATGAATATAAAGTTTGTCCAAATATCCACCTGTCAATAATTCACACCTGGCCTTTGAAATTGCTCGTTTCAGCAGGGAGGGTGCAGCTCGGTGGCAGAGTGCATGCTAAGCACGCACGAGGTCCTGGGTTCAATCCCCAGTTACTTTCATTAAAAAAAAAAAAAAGAAAGAAATTGCTTCTTTGGCTTTGCGGTCTCTATAGTGAAACCACAAGCCTGAAACTCCTCAAAAGAGAGATTTGCATAGAATGCCTCTCAGTTTCAGAATGAGTATGAAAAATGCTGGGGGAAGAAAGTGTGAAGAGAAAAGTGATGAGGTGTGCATGTAGCTGGGTCGGCGTCAGTGTTGGTTAGACACTGTTTATTCTACAGCAGCCCGGTGCCGCCTGAACCTCTGCCACGAGGTCTGTGAAGAACCTCGAAAATGAGGAGATTTTAAGTGTGAAAACTGTAAATGAAGATAAATCATCCCCATGTGTAAAGTATGTTGAGAATTAGTGCCCGAATTTTGTGGTCACGAGGCAAACGCAGACAGCCACTTACTCAGTGATCACTGCTGTGGCTCTTAGCCAGGGAGGCCGGCTCTTCTGCTCGAAGGATAAATGCCCACACAGACAGAGGGCGGCTCGTCGGGAGAGAAAAAGCTAAATGCGGAGCTGGGACCGACTTGCCTGTGAGACGCCTGACGTCCAGAGAGAGCCTGCGGCTGGTCGGGCCATCTGCAGAGCTGTTCTGCTGCTGGGCTTGCGCCTGGAAAGAGAGGGGGACTCAGCAAGGGGACAGTGGCTTCTGCGGCACTTCTGAGCAAGCCCCTGAAGGCACCTGTGCCAGCTGCTCTCTCCCACGAGCCCGTCTCGAGGTGTGGGGATACTGAGGTATAAGTAAGTCCAGGCTGATCTGGTTGCACCCAAGTTGGTCATTCTTCCTTAAACCTGCCACAGACACTGTTTCACTGCAGCATTTTACCCCCAAATAAGGGCCACATGTGAATACACTGAGAAGAATCATAACCAGAAATGCCACCAAGCAGGAATTTGGAGGCTGGGAGAGAGGATGAGAATTGAAGGTAGGAATTTAAAAACTGGGGGGAGGGTGTAGCTCAAGTGGTAGAGGGCAGGCTTAGCATGCACGAGGTCCTGGGTTCAATCCCCAGTACCTCCTTTAAATATAAAGAAAGAAATAAACCTAATTAATTACCTTCCCCACCGCAAAAATCCCTAAATAAGTAAGTCACTCTTCAAAAAATAAAAATTAAAAGAAGAATTTAAAAAATGGAGACCCAGAAAGAAGAACACCCAAGAAAAGGGCAGAACTGAATCATGGAGAAGGGCTGGCTATTCAGCCTTGGGAAAAACTGTGAAAATGCAGGCAGTTAATACAGCATTTCCCAGGACACTAGCCCTGGGGTCAGATAAGCCTGGGAAATACGGTGTCCTATAATGAGCCATCCCCTATATTTTGCAATTTATAATGCAGAATAGCTTATTAATGGCTTTGAGATCTATTGTAATAAAGAAACCCATTTAACAAATTTATTTAAATACAGAACCTCTTTTTCCACATTGCCCCATTCTAGTGACATCCTGCAGGACTAGACTTCTACAGCACACATATGTTATAGTGTATTAAGTAAATGTAGCAGCTACGAGAAAAGTGTTTACTTAGAGGAAGAGGCATGATATTATGGGAAAACCAAACTGGGTTCGGAGTCGGGAGAGCTGGCGTCAGCTGCTGACTCTCCCCAATTCTGCATATCTAGGTAGAAAAAAAATGCTATGTGCAGCTTATACTGCTGAAAATCCAAAATCAGAGAGAATTCAAATGGCAGCAAGGTTTAGGATTCTGGGTTTTCTCCCAGAAGATTAATCACCTGTCCACGTTACTTAACTTCCCCAGTCTTCAATTTACTCACTTAGGAAGTAAAGGGGTTAGACACCAAGATTTCTGTGATCCTGCCAAACTTTAAAACTTAATGTACCAAAGGAGCTCTGATAATTAAAAAAACCAAAAAAACAAAAAACCCCAAACCCTCTCCCCTGCTATCAGGCAACTCTCCTCACACTCCTCAAAAAAGCCAAACAATGTCTTAGCAATTTGACTTCCCACTCAAAGCCCCAGGGGGCCAAAAGCATTTTCCCCTGTTGTGGATCCCTGAGCACAGACCGAAAGCCAGCTTTGTGCCGCCCTGACACACGTGTAAAGCCCCGTCCTTGTAACGTGTGATGTTTTCTAGAGGCCTCTGCCCTGGACTTTCTGGAGATGCCTTTAGATGCAAGACACAGACACCCAATTCACATTTTTTTAAGGAGAAACAGGGAACTTCTCAGCTCAGATAACTCTGACATCTAGCGTTCCACCTAAAAGCTTTGGGAACAAAACAATCTGGGGACCCAATAATGTCACACAGCTGTCATCTTCCTCAGTCCCTTTTCCATGGGCTCTGATGTCAGGCAGGTGCGCCCCACACGGGTGCAGGTCAAAGCTTCATCGTCTTTAACTGTTACACTTAAAAACAGAGGTATTGCCTCACCCACAAACAGTTCAAGCAAAACAACGATCGCTAACAGTCACTGAGCACTTACCACGGCGTCTAACGCACACACACACTTAGGCCCCACAGCTCTCGAAAGTGAGTACTATTCAACGTCCATCCTGCGGGCAAGGAAACTCAGGCTCAGAGAGATTAGTCTGTCCACTTTCCGTACGTGTGACCTCGGGCAAAGTATTTAACCTCTCTGTGCCTCAGTTTCCTCACCTGTAAAGATGCCAACAGCAACACTTTCCTAGGCTGTAGTGAGGATTAGATAAGGCTACGCAAGAATTGAAGGACGGAACCCAACGTGTAGTCACTGCATCCAACGAAAAGCCAGCCATTCTTGGTACCATTTCCTATTCTCTTATCCTCTGCCTGTTTCCTTGTAATGGTCCCCCAAAATTCAGTCTCACATACTCCATTAGATCAGATAGAAAGTGTCACAGTGTATCACAGCCATGGGTGCAGAGGAGGAAGTCTGGAGCAGCAGAGCTTGGGCAGAGCTGGGACCAAGATGGAGCATCCATACTGGGACAGTGGAGCCGAGGGAGGAGCAAAGTCAAGGCCACCAATTCAGCCTAGATGGGAGCCAGCAACGAGGGATCTGCCCTGGAGGGCAATATCGCACGCACCGGACAGGAAAACCTTTAACTGGAAGGCTCTCATACCTTCCAGCCTCAGGGTGCGCCAGGAGGAGAGCCGCAGGTGGGAGCCCGTTCCACCCACGAGGGAGACGGTAATGAGCTCGCTGGCTGGAAGGGAGAGCGCGGAACCCAAGCGAAGGTCATACCCTGACAGGAAGCCTTTCACTGATGGTGATTACACGAAGAGATGGTGTTAAATATTATTCATAAATTATTTGGCAAGTTTCACAATAAAGATAGGATCTTATGGACAACTTAACATACACCCTGGCCAAAAAAAAAACTTCTTAATTCAGTTGTGAAATAGCCCATCAAACTGACACATTTTTGAGGGTGGCTTCCATCCAAATTGGAGAAGTTATTCTGGATATCCTGACCACACGATGGGCACCTGGACCCAAAACTATTCTCAGGCTCCATATTTCTCTGACATTGTTCTTGGAAATTAGTCAACGTTTCTGACCTCTTTAAACATAGTTTCCCATTTGCTAAAAATAGCTACCAGGGGGCTGGGTATAGGTCAGTGGTAGAACACGTGCTTAGTACGCACGAGGTCCTGGGTCCTGGGTTCAATTCCTAGTGTCTTCATTAAAAAAAAAAAAGCTACCAGCTGGAAACTTGCAATGTCTTTATCTTGACTATTTTGCCTCTGCTCGATACCTTGGTGTGCACAGGAGCGATGCCACCTGAGTTGCTGAAGTCAGGGAAGGGGAGGACTCAGGTAATAACCACAGTGCCAAGATGCCCAGAAAGGTCCTGACTTAACAGCAGGCAGGCCTTGAGCATCAAGGGACGTCAAGAGCACAGGAGACAAGAGGACACCTCCAGTGACAAGCATCTCTGAACTAGGGAAGTATTCGTGATGTCAGTTTGACTCCTCCTCCCCTAAAATCTGGGGTTGCCACGATGATGGGGAAGGATTAAATGTGGGAGAGGATTATCAAATATTTCACTGTGGGAAGGATTTTACTGTAACAATAAATAAGCTTTGTTCAGAAAGGGCACTTTTGACCCGGGCAGATATTAATCCATTTACTACTGTGGTGTTTAGCTAAATGTAAAAATATCCATAAAATGCCCTCAGATGCTCAGAAACACAGCTGTCATTTCATCTTTTTTATAGAGTCCTAGCATCCTGACTGGCTACTGCTCCAGAAAAATAGGTCCTGATGTTGGTACCATGAAGAACCAGTGCGGGCTGAACTACAACTGTTTGCTTCTAGTTTGTTTTGGATGAAGTGACCAGTATTCACAACATTAATCAGTCCCAAATTCTAGGCTTTCTGAGGTGCCTGCTCTGCTTGGGCCGTTGGGGGTACTCCCTCCTCCCAGTGCCCTGAGCATATGCTCCGCTGAGCCCTTCCCATTCTGGGCTGTATCTTTCTGATAATCTTGTCCCCACCCCCACACCAGCCTGTTAGTGCCTGAGGGCTCCTTCACATCCTCACCCTTCGCAGGTTGCTTAACACAAAATGAGCACCTATCCACTCCATCAACTGCAACATTAAAGCAGGCGGTATCTTAATCAAGGCTCTACTTCAAGAAGTATATAAGTGTTGAGCAGTGGCCTAAATGCTGACTCAGGGCCAAGGCAACTGCTTATTGAATACCCAGTGTTTGCAACACATGGGATAGATTTAACTGAATGGAGAAAAACTCCATCACAAAAGTGCTTCAGGTTACCACTGGTCATAATAAAGGCAGGCAAAATCACTTCCGCCCTGACCTGACTTTAGTAACACAAACAGAACATCACCCAGCTCTCTAACACCAGGATGGGTGTGGTGTGTTCCGCAGGAGTTTAGAACTCACTCGACACAAACCAACCAAGTAGTTTCCCAAGTGCTGACAGTGGAGGAGATACAGGTACTAAGAGATACGTTTCCCTTTTGAATAAGTAATTTCAATGATTTTTCTTATTCAAGTAACTCAGGATCCACAGGAACTCCACCTAATGTGCCATCAAAAGGAACTGCAAGTTGAACTAAACTGATGTTCACCAAAAAATCCTTTTCCTTTTGAACTCTCTCTAAAGTCTCCTTTCTCCATGCATCTAATTAAATGGAGTACACATAGCAACAATATACACTCACAACCCCTTCCCGCATCTGTTACCTTGTTTAAGAGCAAGGGGTTTTGGAGTCAGAACAAAGTTCCTATTGTGACTGTCATAGTAAGTAACGTGACATGTTTGGGTAAATCACTTAAGCTCTCTGTGTCTCAGTTTTCTCATCTCTAAAATGGGATTCATAACAGAAACCACCACTGGGTAGTTGTAAGGATTAAATGAGCTAATATTTGCAAGTTTCTTAGAACAGGGAGTACCAATCAAGAAATGGTAGATTTAATTATTATTCTTTAATAGTTGCCCCAGCCTTTGTAACTTTACCAGGCAGTTATAATTATCACTGTTGAACAGGTGACATTAAGGAATTTAGCCAGGGTTAAACAATTCAGCAGGGGCAGCTTCAGGGCTACTGAAGCCAGGCCCCAGGACCAGCCCCGGACACCCCATCACCCCCAGTCAACCTTATAGACTTTCACAGAATGGGCTGCACTATCCAGCACAAGAAGAGAGTTTTCCTTGGTGAAGGTCAGTGCCACAGGATGGGAAAGACCATGGGTGATGATGGGTTTCAGACCTGGAAACTCCTCGGGTTTTCCTAAGCACAGGACAGCCTGACTACAAGTGTCTGCCACAATCACGTTCCCTTGGTGATCAAAGGTCACAGCGGAGGCAATTATTTTGGAGGGGAAAAAGAGGCTCAGCCCAAAGGCATCCACCTGGCCGATGAGCTGCATGCTTGCGCTGAACACCTTCACCGTGGTGCCGTAGGCGCCGCTGCCCAGAGCCCGGGGGTGCTCTAACACTGCTATGGCCCCGGTGAGCCAGGACACGGCCACCCCTCGGGGATGACACAGGGCAGCTTGCAACCTTTCGGTTCTCCGGAGGACCCCTTCTGGAAAGTCGACTTCCAGGAGGTGCAGGGACCCCGCTTCTGCATCAGTTACCAAGACCCCATTCTGAGGGGTGGTCTCCACACCCCAAGGCAAGGAGAACTGGCCTCCAATGACAAGCTTGATCTGGCCAAAAAAGTCAAACACTTTGATGGAGCGGTCGCCGGCGTCGGTGACAACCACATGGCAGTCGTTGGTGACGGTGACATCAAGTGGGTACCTAATGTCCTGAGCAGCGTCCCCCTTCTCTCCAAACTGATGTGCACATCCTCCCCCGGAGTCAAAGATCTTGACCCGCCTCTTGCCGTCGTGCACCACCACGACCCGCCCCGTCTTGGGGCACAGCGCCAGCCCGGTGGGGTTCACCAGGGTCCCCCAGCCCCCGAAGGCGTGGTGGCAGGTGAAGGCCCCGGGGGAGCTGGGGGCGGCGCGGTTGGCTGCAGGGGCCTGGCGAAGCGCGGAACCCAGCAGCTCCAGGAGGTGCAGCACCGGCAGGCAGTCGCTGGTGTCGCAGCCCCGGCAGGCTCGACGGCAGAAGGGGCACTCGAGGGCCAGCGTCCGCGGGTGCGCCAGGGCGGCCACGCAGGCCAGGCAGACCACGTGGCCGCAGGGCAGGTTGCGCGGGCGCCGCTGCTGGCGGTGGCCGAACCGCTCAAAGCACACTTTGCACTCGAGCAGGCTGATCTCGGCCTCGCGCACCAGGTCCCGCAGCGCCGGCCCGCCCCCGGAGGCCTCGGCACCCATCGCGCGGCGCCCGGCGCTCCCGTCGCGCCGCCAGCCCGCAGAGCCGGACGCTGCGCCCGCAGAGCCGGACGCTGCGCCCGCGCCGCGCTGGGTCACGGGCACGGGGCGGGGCGCGGGTCCTGACGTCGACGGCAGCGGGCAGCTCGGCCGAGACCTGCTGCCCCCTGGTGGGCGCGCGCGGCACTGCAGCCTGAGGGCCTAACCCCAGACATTTACAAACTATCCACAGGGCGGAGTCAGATCTGCAACGTTCACAACAGCCATGGATAGATTATCTCCACTTTACACTCGGGGAAAAGCACCTATTGAGGACAAGCGAGTTGCTCTCTATTACCTAGAAAAGTGCCCTGCAGTTTCCAGTGGGCAGGGCTGGGTGTAAGCTCACGATGCTTGCGATCTGACTGGGAAAACACAGAGCAAAGGGGAAATTTAAATCCAAGGGGGTGAGGCAGGTGCACGTACTTCTTTTGGGTCTCCTATCACTCTGCAAAGTAGATGCTTAATACTTTAAGTAGATGCTTAAGATTACAGTAGATTACTGGAATTTGACACAACATTGTAAAATGATTATAAATCAATAAAAAATGTTAAAAAAAAGATTACAGTAGATTTTAAAATGAATTTAAGTGTGAAGGAAGGGATTGTTATACGACAAACCATAAAACCCACTAGGTGAATTTGTGTCATGTCAGAGGTGGGGACATGGCTGGGAAAGTCTTCCAGAGAGATTTGGATGAAATAAGAAAGCTGTTAGCTAATAATAATTACTATAGAACTTTCTCCACACCTGCCCTCTTTAAAGTGGTTTCCGTAGGTTATCTTATTTAAACCTCTTGACAATCCTATAAGGGTATGTTATTTTCATCACCCCTTTTCTACAAAAGAGCATGTAGAGGCTAAGTTTCTTGCCCAGAGTCATGGCCAGGAAGTGGCCAGGCTGGGATTTGAGCCAGGCGGTTTGATAGCAGAGCCCACACTGTTAATTACCCGAGTTGTCTTCAAACTTGGTAAATATCTGGGTCTCATCCCGGAAAGATTGACTTGTCCAGGATGTGGTCTGGGCAGCTGGGATTTTTAAGAGCTCCCAAGTGGAGGGGGAAGGGTATATAGCTCAAGTGGTAGGGTGCATGCTTAGCATACAAAAGGTCCTGGGTTCAATCCCAGGGCCCTCCCTAAAAATAAATAAACCTAATTACCTCCTCCCCCCACCAAAATAAAAATAAATAAAAATAAAATATTAAAAAACACAATTTTAAAAAAATCTCCCAAGGGGATTATAATCTGCAGCCAAGTTTGAGAACCACTGAGATACAACAGTCCCTCAAATTATACCAGGTTAAATTCTATCAACCCCAGACAATACGGAAAGCACAGAGAATCTACCATGTGTTCAAAAACTTCAAACAGAAGAATCACTGTGGTACTTGCAGGCTCTCGTTTTCAGGAGTCCTTCCTCAATGTCTCACGTGAACACTGTCTTTGGCAAAAGCACATATCCGATCATTGCTCCTCATTTAGAGATAATGACCGTCATCTTTCACTCTCTTATTTGCTAGACTTCTGAGAAAATGGGATTTTTATCCCATTAAATCCCCCAGAGGAAGCATTAATGTAAGACAAGAAAAAACATGTTCTTATCTAGTGTTACAGGATTCAAAGATTATCTGTGTATTGGAACACAATAACCAACTTAATGTTAGTAAGACTTAATAATTTCAGACTACAATACATTTTCATTCCAAATAGAGATTACTTTCCAAAGTAATCAGGAAATCGAAATTCCATCTAAAAATGGGATACTTTTAGAATTGGTGTTATCTAGTAGAAATACAACGAGAGCCACATATATAAATTAAATTTTCTAGTGTCCCCATTTTAAAAAGTAAAAAGAAATTAGTGAAATGAATTTAATCACATATTTTATTTAACTCAAATATCCCTAATATCCCAAATAATATGATTGTGACATGTAATCACTGCAAAAATTATTAGAGATTTTTACACACTCTCTTTTTTTAGTACTAGGTAAGGTCCCGCATGTATTTTAAACTCAGTACATCCTAATTCAGCTCAGGAACCACATGCAACTGGTGGTTACTGTGTGAACTGTGCAGATCTAGACCAAGTCTGTAATATGATATACCGCCTTCCCAAGATGCTTTCCAGACTGATTTCACTGATGTTTGGTTTGTTTCTAACTTGGCTCTGCTCCAGCATTGTTTTCCGAAGACCCCAACTCATCGCTGATTGTGACGGAGCTCCCACTGTCCCTCGGCGATGTTCCGCGAGCCTGAGTGTGACGCTCAGGAGAGGAGCTGGCGGGCCCAGTTCTCTTGCTGGGCTTGGCGAGACGCCCACCTTCTTTTTCTTAGTCCTTTGCTGCCCCCGTGTGGCAGTCTTAATACTGCAGCAAGAGGCTGAAAGTGTTAAGCGAGGTAAACCACAAAGAACAAGCTGCAATAAATCCCATTTATTTAAGATTGTTTACAATCATCACTCTACCACCTGGTAGTCAGACAGCACAGTGCTTCTGGAAAGCAATGTGGCACATACACACGTAATCCGTTCTGAGAATTTGCTGTCAAGGCTCTGGTAACTTTAAAGTTAGGAAATGCTATTTTGTGGTATTTAATCGAGAGGTAAGGCTTTCTTGATTGCACAAAGCTTCAGAACTAAAAATGTAAGTTTTCGTCCTTCACAACCGGATCCCCACATTCTAGCTGGGCGTACTTGGCAATCGTTTTCTTCAGTGTTTGCTGCCTCTCTTTGGAATTAAATTCTGTTTCAGCACTCCTGTCAACCCAGCCCACCTTCTCCCTCCCTTCTTGTCCTATTTTACCAAGTCCACTTTCCCTTTTTATCCGGTCTTAAACTGCTCTTTATCTTCATCCCATCTTTCTTTTTCTGATGAGAGAAACTCAGTTCCAGGAGAGCAGGAACCACACCTGGTTTTGCTTGAAGCCGTTTCCCCAGTGCTCGGCACACACCTGGGTAACAGTGGGAGCCCAACAAATGGGTGAAGACTTACGAGGATACTGCATACAGGCAGCAAGCCCCAACGTTATACCTTTCCTTTGATGGTTCCCTAGTATTTATAGGAACCATCATTCGGAAAACAGCATTTATCCAGGTCACGTGCTAAGCATTTGCTTATCTTTAAAGTCAAGGTTGAAAGGTTTCTCAAATACCTTACGGAGTGTACTCCTGATCACAACATATACACATGCTGATTAATGAAGAAATGCCGAGTCTAACTCTAACATTCTGAGTTTGCTGTGCCCAACCCTTCCTTCCCTGCAGGGGAGCCTCTCTGCCACCCTCCAATACTCTATTTACAGGGTCCTGGAAGAGCATACCCATCTCTTCCTGCGTCCACTTCGAACAAGCCCTGAGGGCTGTGGAGGCAGAGGTGTTGAAGACCAGATCTTGTGGCCAGTGGCTGAGCTCTGTGCAAAGTAGCACATGGTGAGGAGGGAAGATGGAGACCACCCCCAGCCTAGGGGGTCCCAGCAGAGGAGAGGGAGCACAGGGCTCCAGGTTGAGGGGTCTGGGGAGGGAGTTGGTGCTTGGACAGGTGGGCTGCTGGTTTGGCGAGTTGGGGAAGACATGCCGCATACACACAGTTGAGAAGGAATCCCAGAATGAGATGGGAGAGGAGGGGAGAGGAGCAAGTTGAATAGAACAGAAGCAACTCAATCTGGGCGCAGACATACAACCTTTTAACAGAGAGCAAAGACAGACAGTGGGCACTTACTGTGGGGCTGGTGAGCTCATAGGAGCGAAAACTTGCTACCATTGCCAACCTGAATCCCTCTTGGGTTGCTCACATTTTGAGTTTCAGGTCAGCACCTCAACAGGCGGCTCTCCATCAGCAGTGCGGTTCCTTGGACTCTGACCCTCTGCGCCCTCTCCAGCTCTGCTCTCCCGCAAGGGCATCTGGTCTCCCAGTGCCCGCTCTGACCCCCTAATTCTGTGACTTGTGCCCCACGTGCTTGGCTTCAGGGGTGAGGGTTTTGGTGAGGAGGGGATGGCAGTGCAGGCTTGAATGTTTTGAGCACCAACAGAAAAATGAGCTGGAGACACGGCAGGAAATAAGAATCTGGAGATTTCAAAGTTTCTCAAGTTCCCACACACACATTTGAGTAACTGAATTTTTATAATACACACTACCCTATTAACATGTGCTTAACAATCTAAATCATTTTGGTATTAGCCGAGAGGGGAACATCTGATTTAACAAAATGTGATTGTTAATGAAAAACAGAAGTTTTGAATCTAAACTTTCATAAGTGAACAGACATGAATCCAGCCCTAAGAACGCTGCACTACATAAAGACTTTATCATTTAAACAAGATTAAATTAAGAGGAAAAAACTGCCAAACTCAGAAAAAAAACTTCTAAAAGATTTATTTTTACAGTTTGGGAAAAATATTTTGTTCCATATAGATTGGTTAATTTCAATAATTTTAAAATCTGTTTCTTCATTCTGTCACATATAAAATTAGATAAGGAGGAAAAGTGTGAAAATGGGTGCTAGAATTAAGCACAATTTGAGGGTTTATAGTAAAAGTTAATGTTTTACATAATGTCTTGGATCACTGTCTTTTACCCTGAACCCTATTAAAGTGTTACATTTCCTCAATGGTTCTAAATTTCATAAAGAATGCCAATTTTTCTATGTCTATTATATTTCTTTAAGTTATATGTATTACATTACTGTTTTTTTAAAATTATACACGTATTACATGCTAATTGTAAAAATTCTTGCAATCTGTAAGTAAGACATACAGGGATAATCTTTCACCCCCCAATCAAACTCTCCTTTCCAAAGTATGGTTCTATTTTTTTCCCTAAAGAGTTATATGCATTTTTGACCAAAGATCTGTGATACGATTTGTGAATAATTTTTTCCCCAAAAGTCATCTATTACATTTTCGTGCCTTAGCACAATTTCCAGTTGCTCAAAAACATGTTGATATGACTTGCTTCTATTTACGTCTCATTCACTTTTCTGTAAATAGATACAGCTTTTCAATAATGCAGTCAATTCC